CCTCCCACTGGGGACTGAGCCTGCAACTCGGGCATGTGTCCTTGACTGGAATCGAACCTGGGACCCTTCAGTCTGCATGCTGACACTCTATCAACTGAGCCAAACAGGCTAGGCTTATTTTTTATTTTAAATCATTTTTCAGTTACAGTTGACATACAATATTATATTAGTTTCTGCTGTACAATCCAGAGATCAGACAATACATAACTTATTAAGTGATCATCCTGATAAATCAAGTACCCATATGACACCATACATAGTTGTTAGAATGTTATTGACTACTAGAGGCCTGATACACAAAAATTGTGCACGGGTAGGGTCCCTAGGCCTGGCCAGCAATCAGGGCTGATCGGGGCCTTCCAGCTGCCGGCCAGGGCCTTCCTTCCAGCTGCCGGCTGAGGAGATGGGTTCTTGTCCCAGGTTTGTCAATAATTTGCTGAGTGACCTGTCAAGTAACTCAACCTTAGTATTCTCTCCTGGGTTAACAATTATCAAGATAGAATGATATGTTAGAATTGGCAGAGACTTCAGAGTTTATACAGTACAATTTCTTCATTTCATGGGGTGATTGAGCGACTTACCCATGAGCTTTCTAGAACAAGCTTTCAGTCTTGGCATCTTAGATCAGTGTTCTTTTGACTACATCAGGCTTTTTTTTTTTCTTTTTTCAGTGTTGTTCCATGATTCAAACAGACAGAAAAAACAAAAACAACCCCCAAAGTGAAAACATTAAACAAATATATGGCCTTTCACATAAAGCCAGATAACACTATTAATTATTACCCTGCACTGAAGCCTGCAAGCTTATCTGACAATATACTCTGTTTAACTTAAGGATGACTTAAAATTCAGGAACTATGTAAGGAAAGGTCAGAAAAAATAAAAGGTAGGGGAGGTGGAAATTAATGGTTGGCTTGGCGAATACTGGTAAATGGAAAACAAAACTCACAGGAGTACTTTTATTCTCTTACCAATTCTTTTTTTCCCCTAGTTTGTACATGGTGAAATTGAGGAAGTGGAGGCTGTTTTTACACATTTCTGAAGGAATGGTGGGAAATAAGGGTTGTTTGAGATGAAATTACCTTGCGTATACTACACATTACATCAATTCTCTAACTTAACGCCATCCTTTCTGGGGCCAATGCCCAAAACAAGGCTCTGAAAACAGCAGAAACCACAGTCAATGCAAAAACTCCAACTCCCGAAATGCTTCATGGCTTGTTTCCACCGCTTCCTGGCACGAGCAATGTCTTCAGTACTGGGAGTTGTAGTCATTCCGGGCCCTCACTTACGGCGCATAAGGGAGGATGCCCCTCCAGGAAACTACATTTCCCAGGAAGCTATGCGTACCATTCTCCGCGTTTGGAGCGTCAGACTCCACCCCCGCCCCCTCCTCCCTCCTAGGGCTGCACAGCTCACGCCTTCCTGTTAGTCGGACCTGGTAGAAGTTCACTCCGATCAGCTGATCACAACTGACAACAGGAGAGGAGGAAGCCCGGGAGGCTGCGAAGGAGGTGGGGGGCGGAGATGGAGATGAGGATGGATCCTCCGGTGCCCTGAGGAACAGCCCCCGCCCCCACCGGCGCCCCCAGGTCCCCG